TGTACAGTGAGGAGAAGAGAGTTGCTCCAACAATGAATAGCTGGATAGAGGAAGGTAGGTCTGGAAAGGAGGCCAAGGACTGTTTAGAGAGTGAGAAAGAGACTAGAAGTTAAAGACAGAGAATGTTTGAAGGAGCAGATACTGGTCAACAGAATTGAATGCCACTAAACGGCAAGTTAACACAAGGACTGAAACATATCCAGTGTATGGGTAACTCACATGACTTTAATGGCTGTAGAGATAATGGGCTTAGAAGGCAGATCAGGGAGGGTTAAGTCAGGAGGAAAAGGAGACAAGGAAATGCAGAGGCTGAGCACTGACAACTCTCTTGGCTTTACAGAGGAGGTGAGAGAGAGGCAGTAGGTGAAGGGAAAGGAGAAGGTAAGCCAGTTGAATGTGTTTAAAAGCCAATGGAAGGGATGGAGAAATTGAATAGGGAAGACAGAAAGGGTAATCTATACTACAGAGTTTCTGAGAAGGTGAGGTCAAAATATGGCCGCCCTCTTGAGACAGTGGATGACTTCATTCTCAGTGGGTGCTAAAAGCACCTGTATATCTTTTACAGAGGTGTGTTTGTGGCTGAAAAACAAATTTCATTACCAAAGTATTTATATAGGTAAATAAAAAAATTAGGATTACTCTGAAAGATGATAACTAGAGCCCTTTTATTCTTATTCTTTTTGTTTTTTTTTTGAGCACTTTTAACATATATGAAATGCTTTATTTTAAAAGCTACATAAAATTTGTTTAAATCAGTGTCATTCTGAGCCAGACTTACTCAGTCTAGTCTGCCTTTGTAAATCATGCTTCTCCTCCTTCGGATATTGGCTTGACTCAGCTTATTCTCCAAGTGAAAAAGAACATTTTTGCATGCATGATGATTGGTTTATGGATAACCACAGAGTGACTAATGCTTTGCTGCAAGTATAAGGCATATCAGACACTTTTATCTATATCAAGACAAGATTGTTGACCCATTATGGAAAGGCAGAGAATTAGGAAAGTGATGCTAGATGAATAATAACTGTTAACCTCTGAAGGGTGCTAGGTTACTGATCTTAGCATATTTCTCATTGAGGCTCAAAAGTTATTAGCAAGTTTACTAGGGGTTCTGTGTGTTTATGTAAATTGAAACTTTTCAATGCAATATAAAAATTGAGTATCCATAAGGTGTACATAGCAATATTTTCTTACAAAAGTTTATTTTGCAAAAGATGCTATTTCAAGATTTCAATTCAATAAGATTTTTTTTAATTTTGAGAAAATATCAGATTTTTTAAAGTTAGACTTAAATGTCGCATTTCAAAATAAATCCTATTTCTTCTGTAGTCATCCTATTACTTATATGATCCATGAATTACTCAACCATCTATCTATTTGCCAAATACTTATTAAAAACTGCTATGTGCCAGGCTCCAGGTAGGGTACACAAAGGTGAATAATCCATGGTCCTTACTCCTCTAGTTTACTGTCTAGTGGGGGAAATTGATGGCAACATGCTGTGTACACTGCATGGGCAGAGAGCAGAAAGGACAGAGAGGAGAGAATTTATTCTACCTAGGGGTGCTGTGTCCATGTGTGCCACTGTGAGTGCACGTGTGTGTGTGTGTGTGTGTGTGTGTATGTATGTGTGTGTTTGAAAAAGAAGAGGAGGGAGGGAGAAAGGGGGGAGAGTGTTAACAGAGAAGGAATACCCATGCCAGAAAGGCATAAAACATGAAGATGGGAAGAGGCAGGAAAAGGAAAAAGGTTCCAGGATAATGTTATCTGAGTAAATAAGTGTGTATTTGTTTTCTCATAAAGTAATTCAAAGTATCTTTGAAAAACAAACTGAGGTTTTATATAATTAATCAATATTTAGTAGTCACTAACAGTATATAAATATGAAAATGTGAAGTTGTCCTACACAGCAGTGCATTGTTTTTGAACTCTACCAAAATTTAGCATATGTGACAATATTCTAACATATGACAAGAGGGAAGGCTTCATGAGACAAACCCAGCCGTTGCGTAAGTCCAAAATGGGTTTTCTTTTGTCACCTTTAAAGTTCTGTGAATGTTGATACTGTAATTAAATCGAAAAGTTTTATATGAATGGACTCATAAGGCTATTCGTGTCTTACAGTCAGGTTCTCAGAGGTCATTTAGCCCATTTTCACACTGGCATCTGGAATGGAAGGTCACCCAGCCCACACTGAAGGTGTCCAGCAAAGGAGGGCCACCACGTATTACCGGTTTGTGGTGTTTGAAGAAAACCTCTTCACAGAGGCGTTTCTTTTCTTGATATCATCTTGAAACCATCTCTGTTTTCCATGTGATATAATGCACAACATGTTCTTACAGCACAAATATTTGAAATCAAGTTCTAAAAAGGAATCATGATAGCAGGTTGTCTGAAAAAATTTTTCATTCTTTCATAACCTAAGGAGACCTCACATTCAATATCTAAATATCTAATGACTAAGAGAGCACTCACACCGTGGAATGCTCAGATTTGTAAAGGAGGACACACGCGCCAAAGCCGAGCCATCTCTGGGTTGTTTTTTGTAGGGTGTAAGAACAAAGACATCTCATGTGTCTCAAGAAAAAAGAGTGAAAGTCATGACCTAGTTCTCCCTTGTTCTTTAAAAAATGTTACTGAATAGAAAGCCAGATGTATTCCAGGAGGGCCCTGCTGACTAACTCTTACTGTTATCATATACTAGCAATTCCAAGACACGATGAAAGGGATTTGCTCGGTTTTCCAGAAATAAGTCCTGTTCTATTAAATTTACTTGCTCAATATCTATTCTCCCAATCCTGTGGAGTAACGGGATTGGCAATAAACACCACTAGGCAAGTCTCTCAGGATTCTTGAGTTATTTCAGTGATTTTCTAATCTACTCTGTACTTTTATTAAATGGTTATCAGAAACTGAATCAGCAATTGGAGGGTCTGGAAATAGCTTCTACTGTAACCATTTCGCACATGTGATCACTTCCCACACATTCTCACACAAAGTCCCTGCACTTCTTTAAGTAAAATAAGTCATTGATCACTTGGTCTTTCCAATATATTGTAAGAAAATGGAATAACTGTTGTTGGAATTTCCAATATTCCATGTCCTCAACTTGGATTTGCCCTAGAGATCGAAGTTGCAGGTTTAGAAATTAACCTGGATTAAAATCTTAGTTCTACTGCTTAGTAGCTATGTGACGTTGGCACAATTATTAACCACTCTGTGTTTCAGTTTCCTTATCTGTAAAATGGAGTCAATAATGGTGACTTACTAAGAAAAATGCATGTGAAATTTAGCACATAGTTAGCATGATAAATGCCAACAATTATAATCATTTCAGGACCTTTATACTATTCTAGCATTCAGTTACCTCTTCATCTGCATCTAATCGAGCTAAAAATAATATTTTATTGAATACCAAATACTAAATTCCTGTGAATTTGGGCATGTTGATGGTGGAGTTGGTGGGAAGACGAGTGGGAGTTATTGTGACATGAAGAGGGGAATGTACTTAAGGTGACCATGGAAACCAGCTGGTTTGCTGTCAATTTCTCCAGTACCATAGTTTATTCTACACACTGTTAAGAAGTATTTGTATTTCAGTATGTATTTCCTGATATCTAGTTAAAGTTTTCTAATTACCTCATATTTTGTTCCTCTTTTATGGAAATGCCAGAGACTTTTTTTTAATGCCTGAACAATGAATACTTGACAATAATTACTGTATCATTTGTCAGTACCTTAAAAAAACAAAAACAAAAACCCAAATCCAGTTTCTTCAGCCTTTTGCCCTAGACACCAATCACACTTCTTTAGACCCTTCCTTCCTGAGGCTGACAGGACATCTGGGCCCTGTGGGACATCACCCAGCAATGGTAGAAGATGGGAGGAGGCGAAGACATGAGGCTGCCCGGTCCCCAGCAGCTAAATGAGACAGAGGCTGTGGCAACTGCAGCTGGCAGCTGAAGATGCCTCTTAAAAGGGCCGTGTCTGCAACCAGGCTTCCATGGTGATGGACTTGCTTGCTCTGAGCACCAGGCACTAACCCAGACCTGGAAGTGAACCCTTTGTTTTATATGTGGTGACTTCTCTCAAGGAGAAAACAAGCACCAACATCTATTTACCAGATTCAAAATGCACCAGATATGGAACAGTGCTGTGTTTGACATGGTTAACACATAATCACAATCTTGAAACATCATATTTTAATACTCAAGGCTTTGGTGTTGCCATTTCTAAATATTCTTTCTTTCTGTCTTTCACTCGCTCAATAAGTATTTATTGCATGCTAAAAATATACAAGAAAGTATGCTAGATCTTTCCATATATGCCTTCTGGCCTAACAGGATTATGAATTGTTTTAGGGCAGAGATAATGTACCTTATTTGTTATCCAAGGCTCAGCCTATAGAAGACATTTTGCCCAACTCAACAAATGCGCATTATATAAATGAAAAAATGAGATGTAAGTATGATGCTAGCTGTGCATAATCAAATAACATATTTATTCCTATGTCTTGATCATCTATAAACTTATAATTTAAGCAAAATACGAATGCAAGTATCATCTCTGTGAATAATATATATACCAGTACTATTATATTAGACCTTTTACTTAGATTGAATATATAATTTATATGCTTATATAAAAATCAGAAGATACAATCAATAATCCATATAAAATTTTTAGGGAGTCAAGAGTTTTTGATGAAAATACTAGTTTAAAATAAGATTTCACTCAGACTCAAACCCCTTTTCATGTAGTAAAAGGAAGCGAGCAAAGGAATTCAAGCACACTGAAGTTTTCAGGGCCAAACATTTTGATTCAATATGTTCTGCTATAAAATATTTGGCCTTGTTTGAATTTTTATTGCTATATGTTCTCAGTCTATATTTAACTGTGAGAAATAAGGAAGAGTGAATGTGCAAAATGTTCTTTTCAAGTGCATAGCAGTGAATTTGAGAAAACATATATTAAAGGAACACTGTATTTTTAACTTCTAGTCCCTTTCCTGAGGCCTCTCTTGGCTAGATATGATGAACTGTTTATTGAATTAAGGACTCTGCTTACTTGGAATGGAAATTTTGAAGGACCCCTCAGAGCCACCTAAGGTAAGCACCTTACTTCATCACGCTCTCAAAGTTTTTCTTATATTTTATCTTTCTCATAGGTGAAATTGGAAGGTTTTTTTAATGGAGACGTTCCATTTTCCAATTCCCTATTGTGCAAATCAACTTGTTAAAAATTGGAATTTGGGGTGTTCACTCTGGCGTCAGCTCAATCCTGGCTCTGTAATCAGCCAACAATCTGTGCCTCACAAAAGCTGCATCCTTAACTGCCAGCTTCTTCCATCCATACCTTTTCCATGGGGTAATGCATTTTAATTGATACATCTCTGCAAGCCCCTCACATCTCCATCTGGCCAAATAAATACAGTTTTGTTTTGTTTTTGTTTTTTTTTCTATTCAGCCTCAACACCTTGGCAATTAGCAAAGATAGACTTGCCACAATGGGTAATCTTTAAAATGCACAAAAGTCTAAAATTAAAGGCATGGGTATAGGTGGTATAACCAATGGTTGTCTAGAGGGTGGCTTGTCTACAAAGTGGCTTTGTGCTCAACAGTGTTATAACACAGCTCTCTTGGTCCAAACTGCAGTTCCTGAGCAGTGACAGTGTTGAGAGCTCTGTGTCCTCTCCAATGGCGAAGTACTGGTGACATATCCTGTGTCCACGGACAGCATAAAATTTTGAACATAGGGTTATTACCAACCAATTTCCACTAGTCAGATTGGGGCCTGTATAACCAGGAGGCAGAAGGGTGAAACAGTTAAGAGCATGGGCTCTGGAGGCAGATTGCATGCCAATCCTGCCACTGTTAATTTACTACCTGTGTGACTTTGGCAGTTATCAAATTGCTCTGTGCTTCAATTTGTCCATCAGTAAAACGGAGATAATATTAGAAATAACTTCATAAGGTTATTGTGAAGGTTAGATGAGATATCTGACATGTTTAGTACAGAGCTTGGCTCATATTCACTAACAATTATTCTTTTTAATCAAGGTCAGCAGACTAAATTCCTTGAGCAGCAGAAAGGAAGGGGAAGGATGACTAACTAGTTATGAAGTTATTCTTCAAACAATTCCTTACCCTGTGTCTTTGCTTCTTACACAATGTAATCATAAAGCAAAGGTGTGAGGGATGAATGACTAGGAGATAACATTATGTGCGGTCTTATTTCTTTGAGGCTTTGGACACAATGCTTCTTTTTCTCTAACCCTCAGGGTCATTTGGATTGAAGAATGGTTCCAGGGCAAAATAGCTAGTACTGCTTTCTTAACAGCCTTCTATATGTAAGGTATTTTTTCTCTTGCTCATTTCTGGTTTACGTTTCTCTCCCATTCAACATCATCTCTTTTTCTCACCCCCACTTTGGTGAGATACCTCTCTCAGCACGAAGCAGAGGTGATCAGGCACACCTCTGCGCATCATCACGACTGACAATGTTTATGCAAGAAGGCCAACTAGAAGAGCAGGGCTCCTAGATCCTTGTTAAGCCCAGGGACACACGTGATTCTTAGCGGTAAGGGAGATATCTCTCACCGGTTGCTTTTTCAGGGTTGTTGCACATGAAGCATTGCCACGCGCCTGCTGCTTCACTGAAGCCAAACACATCAAAGAACCTCACTTCTTCCAGATGGAGCTGTACCTGGTCCAGATCCTGTTTCAGGAATACAAAGCACAAGGAACACAATGATCTATCTGCCTGCTACATAGCATTCTGAGACTGGGAAGGGGGTTGTAGAAGCAGGATGGCCAATGCTTAATCTCTGTGCTAAGGATGAGGACAGAGTATTGAGAAGATCCCTCTTGCCTCACCGTGGAAAAGAGCAGCACCTCAAACTCTTCCAAGGGAGTGCTCTTTAATGCAGAGGCAGTGAGCATGGGCCCCAGGGCTGGGCAGCAGGGTGGAGGGTGAGGGGTCAGAGCCTGAAGTGGCCCAGAATTATCTTGCATCTGGTGGCAGCTCCAGAATCTCTAAAAGTAGGGATATCTAAGTGGCAGCATGGTAGAAAGGAATGCCACTGGGAGATTTGTCATTTGCATACATTTTACATAAAATTGAGAATCAATGATCCATATCAAAAAATTATTTTTATTAGGTTGGTTTTACAGGGGGCTGATGAAAAATATGGGAGAGGGCTTAATCCTTCAGCACTCAGCTCTATCATTGTGTTAGTTGTATGTTTTATCTTAAAAGTGTATGCAAATTTTGCATTCTGTTCCATAATATCGCTGTATTGATTTTAATGGAAAAGAATGTCTTAAATTACTTATCAGTAAATTAATTAACTTTGTCTCCTCCAAATGGTTGAGTAGAATTGACACTCCAAGAAGACTGCCCATGTTTTAAGTGCCCTGCGGCATCTTGCCAGCGTGTTCCTATTTAAGAGGCAGAGGAGAGAGGTTTCATTACACTGTAAATGGATGGAAAACTATTCGCTTAACCAAATTAAATAGCTCTACTGTCCTCCCGAGGCTTTCCTATTATGTAAATGACTTGTATCCTCTACTACAGGGTGGCCAGAACTGCAGTCTTAAAAGGTTGCTTTCCTAAGAGGCATTTAACGTCTTTGCTAGCTTTGCACGTGCCCAGCTGACTTATGTGTTTGTCCTCTGTAGCTCTGTGATTTTATTTCCCTTCCTCTGGCCCACACACTCATATCTTCTACCCATAGTAATAGTGTGTCCAAGAGCCAAGGGATGGAGGCACTATTTGCACTGTTTATGGTGGATCTAAAATAGAGAATGGTCAAGTGGCTACCCACATGCTATCCCAAAGTTCTGGTTTTCTAGGTCTACATTTTTGATGGAGGTGAGAAGTATGCTAGATCCTAAGCTCCTTGAGGGCAGAAACATATCTATGTTGTTCATAGTTGTATCCTCAGAGTCTAGTCCTGCATCAGGAGTGGATTAACATCATTGGCTTACAAGCCCAGTGCAAAGTTTATTGATGAACTATATGAACATATTATGAGAATTTTAAGAGAATTCTTTTTAGAGAACATTTATACTCACTGGAACATAAATACCATGAGGTCAGGGGTTTTGTCTTTTGTATTCTTGTCTGTTGTCACCTCAGCACCTAAAAGTGCTTGTCACATAAGCAAGCATTAAATAAATACATGTGGAATAATGAAAGGCATAAACTGGCACTAGAAATGCTTTTCTTTCTTTTGTTTTAGGCGAGACAACCCTTGGTTGACCTCACAGATTTCAAGGACCTTGTCAGTTTACAATCCCTTATTTTTTTTTTTTCCCATGCCTACAGCACCTGGTCTTCCTAGATAGGTGGTCTCCCATCCAAGTACTACCTAGGCCTGAACCTGCTTAGCTTCCAAGATCAGACGGGATTGGGCTTGTTCAGGGTGGCATGGCTGTAGACTAGAAATACTTTTGAAACATTCTTTATTTAGACTATTATGGCTCATGTTATCGGAGTGGACATTTTGGAGGCTCGATGAGCTGAATACAGCATTTTGTTGGTAGCATTTAATACCATATTTTAGGCATTCCAATAGACACTGTATATACAGCATGTTGTTTCAACAAAAGTGATTTCTAATGTGTTCAGCGTGAAAAAGGAGACTTGAAAATAATTTTTTAAAAACAAGTTTGGTCTGTCCCAAGACAGACCAAAGAAGCACCTGGGAGTTCTGTAGGTTTCAAAGGATGAAATCCGTATTAAAATTTATGGGAGAAAGCAGATGTTCATAAATATCAGCTTCAAAACTGCTAAGTCTCTGAAGTCTGCACTTGGCCATTGGCATGCAGATCACTTCCCTATTTCTCACACAATTAAGGATCAAATTTTCATTCACCACGAACACTGCCAGCAAACAAAGTACTTAAGATAGTACTTAAGGGTTACTTATTTTTCCTGTTCGGAGACCAGAAATGTCCCAGGTTGTTGCCTATAATCCACATTTGTCTTGGCAAAAAGTTACTTAAAAAGTTTAAGACAGATGGCAAGCTCCATCCCAGTGTTCAGGTTCTGAAGTCAAAAGCAGGCTTCCTTCTTCAGAGGATTTAGGTGTCGTGCAAAGGGAATGGAGTGAAGAAGATGGATGGTAGTTCTATGAACTGTTGAAGTTGGCAATAACAGACAACTTTAATAGAGATGGATGAAACACATGGAGTTCTAAATATTGGTGGAAAATCAAAGCAAAATAAATCACAAAACAAGCAAACACAAACCAACAACCAGTGATACCTAAATTTTTGGAATGTTTAACCTCTTAATGTGCTTGAGGTCATTATTTCTCTCGTCCACCGATCTTCTTTACCCTCCTGGGTCTTGTAGCTTCCCCAGGCCTTGCCTAAGAATTGCTTTATGATTTCTTTCTTTCTTTTTTCTTATTTTTTTTTAAGACAGGAGAACTAAGATTGACTCATTTAGAGAATTATAAACTTCCTTTAAGACAACTAGACTCTAGAAGGATAATAAAAATCATTTAAATCTAAGTACAGTTCCGTTTAGTTCAATGGGATTGGAGTGGACAGACTCTTGGGTGACCCCTCCCAATAATTCCCATCTCCTGGTGTTCATCCCTTTGTATAATTCCCTCCCCTTAAGTGTGGGAGGGATCCGTGACTTGCTTCTAACCAAGAATATGGCAAATGTGATAGGATATCAATCTCATGATTATGTTATTACACACACGCAGAGGACCCGTCTTGCTAGATGTATAGAGAGGTTCTCCTGCTTGAAGAAGCAAGCTGCCATGTTGTGAACTCCCCGTGGAGAGGGCCACATGGCAGGGAACTGTGGGTGGTCTCTAGGACCTGAAGGCAGCCTTCAGCCAACAACCAGTAAGAGATCCAACCAGTAAGAGAAGCAGACCCTTCTCATTCGAGCCTCCAAATGAGAACACAGCCCAGCCAATATCTCAATTGCAGCTTTATGAGACCTTGAGCAGAGGACTCAGCTAAGTCACAAGCAGACTCCTGACTCAAGGAAACAGATACAAAATATGTGTTGTTTTAAGCTGCTAGGTTTGCAGTAATTTGTTATACAGCAATAAAAATCAATACTGAGATTGTGCCATGAA